GATAATTATCCTTCTTTCCCTGATTTTAAAGATGAACAGGCCAAGGCTCAGCTCCTTGCATTGCTCCTGGAATTGCATAGGAGCACTTAGTGAGGAGAGGCAGGAGGTGGGTTCTTGGCTTACCTGTGGACTAATGGCTGGCCTCTCCATAGCACTGCGCTAAGCCACCGAGTTTCCTGGACTTAAACTCTGCACCCAAGGTTCTGCTCCCGATCCACAGCTGCTTCTCCAGACCCGGCATGCGGAGAACCTCACCTTCCTGCTCCAGGGTCCTTATTTGAAGAATTTCATGCATTTTGGCAAACAGAAAATGGTAAATATTCTAGGAAGTATTGACTATGAAGCTGAATTTGCAGGACCTGGTCAGTATTTCTGTGAGCCAACGGGCAGGATTTCAAGTGAAGTAAGATGTACAATTTACAGTCCCCACTCTAGCATCTGTTGGAACAGGAGGGCCCACGACGGGAGGCCAGTCCATTGATTTAGCCTCATGAGATCCTTGCTCACGGTTAGCCACGTCCTTGTTTCCACACCCCCTTCCCACCCAGGCATCTTCAGAGGAATCTGAAGTTCTCCCAGGGGTTCAGGAATTTGGGTCATCCAGTGAGCCTTCACCAAGAGCCAGTTCAATCTGTCTGTGGTCCTTTGTTCCTGCTCCAAATTCAAATGTTACTTGGTTGCATGTGAGACTCAATATGTGTACTCCTAAATCTATAGGAACAAGGGAGTTCCAGTAAAGGAAGTTAAAGCATTCACTGAGGCACACAAGAGCCAGTCTCCAAAACGGAAACAGTACCTTGTTATTCCCCTCAGGAATGCTGAAGTGAAACAAAATGAACCTTCAGTCATTTTAAACGGACATGTCTCCAGTGCTTTGCCATTATCAAGCTATGGTGTTGGTCTCGAAGAGTTTTTAAAATAGAAACAAACACGACACCAAAACCCACACTTTATTGATCTGAATAAGTTTCAAATTATAGGATAAAAATCACCAACTCCTGATCCCCAGACAAAAAGATTAGATAAATCCAGATGTCAGATACAAGTCCAAACATTTGTATCACATCTCAAAAGCATTTGCTGTTTAATCTTGCAAAGGTATGAGGTGATATATACAATAATATAATAAATCAATGAGAGAGAGAGATGTTCATTTTTTATAGCGGCCATTGCTCATGAGTTACCTTGAGTTATGATAAAATTTGTCAATGGCTTAATGTTTTCAGTTCATTGAGATTTTCCTGGTACATACTCTTTCCCCTGACATAAGAGTTTTGATTTGTTAGGAAATGGAAAGACTTGGAAAAAATTATATTAAGTGAAGTAAGCCAGGCCCAAAGAAACATAGATCCCATGGTTTCCCTTATTTGCAATAACTAATATATATCTGAGACAAGCAGAAAAGGTCAGATGAGTTGATGTTAGGTGAAATGAAGCCCAAAATAAGTATTCAAATGTTTTTTCTTTCTTGAGATTGTTTCTAAAATATTTATAAGGTGATTTCTTTGTTGCTTTGTATGTCCCTCACCCATGGTTTAACCTCTGCTTTTACTATATTTGATGCTGGTATAATTTGTGAAGGGGAAGGGAAAAAACAAAATGTTTAAGTAGGGATACAGGTGGACCTATTGCAACAATGAGATGTACAAGTCGTTATATCGAAAAACGAACTTCACCACTTTGGGGTGGGGGGGGGGAGGCATGGGAAGGGATGGGAAGGGGAAACAAAGGAGGAGGCAACAATGCTTGATAAGAAATGTACTCATTATCTTGCCCATGTAATTGTAACCCCTCTGTATGGTATTTTCACAATAAAAAAAGAGTGCACATTACATATGGTTAATAATAATGCCACTGATCTGAAGTTTGTGTTAATGCAATGCTTGAGAAGATGACAAAAGCATTCCTTAGCAAAGCTCTCTAAAACATGTGGCCCTCCTTCCTCCAAGATGGCGCCATCTGTCTGTCACATCTGTCATTCCACTGATTGCCAAAGTCAATTGGCATGATCCAGGTGGTTTTTCTCTCCCTTTGTACATTTCTAATTACCTTTCTCTCTTCTCACCCAAAAGGATATAGCTGTAAATGAACAAGAATGATAGAAACCATATTAGCCAAGCCTGAACTTATAATGGTTGTGGAGCATGCACAAGATATCATCTTTGAACTGGCTGAAGTATCTAGGAGTTTGTCAAGAAATCATTAACTTGAGTCACCCTAGCACTGATGGGTCCAGAGTTTTCTATCTTCAAGCCATTGTTACATTTAAATGACTGAGATTTGAGAAGCATTGATAGTTTATGAGATGCTTAAGTTATTGACAATATTCAAATGGTTATATTTTATACCACGTGTATAGGCACATAGACCTAGAATTTTGCAGTTGATATCACCATCTTTAATTGTTAGAAATAATAGAGAACTTCTAGAGTTTGGGGACTGAAAAAGCCCAAGAATGAAGTTCCACATTGCTTCTCAGCGCTGTTCTTCAACACTGTCTGGAATGAAATGGCATGTCTTTGCCAGGCGCCTTTCAATAAGCACCTGCCCTTTGCTCCCTACTCCATTTGGAAGCCATAGCTGGAGTCCACATTGCCTGAGCTGCAAATGCTCTCCTGAGGACCCAGGGGATAGGTGGATAGTGTGTGATGCTTCCGGCCACAACATCCAGCCCTATCACTGCCCGCTTCCTATTATAATAACATGACACCACAGACCAGGTATGTCACAAAGAAAGGGCAGCTTATTTGGCTCATGGTTCTGGTCCAAGGTCAGAAACAAACATTTTGTGTGTGTGTGTGTGTGTGTGTGTGTGTCTGTGTCTGTGTCTGTGTCTGTGTGTCTGTCTGTGTCTGTGTCTGTGGTCACTCTCTATCTTCTGATAAAACCACAGCATTCCACCTTGGAGACTCTGTTTTAATGACTGTATTGGATCCTAGTCACCTCCCCGAAGTTCTACTTCTAAACACCATAACTGATTAAGTCAGCTTCTTAATTCCTCAAAATGGGGATAAAATGTCAGTACAAGAACCCGGGAGCTGAGGGATACTTGTATCTTATCCGAACCACAGTAACCTCATTTCTAAAAGCACAGCATGGGTAAGGAAAGATGCTATTCCCACCAGAAAGAGGTCAATCTGCTGTTAGAGGAGGACAGAAACAAAATGGCTGTCAAGACCAGATACAGACAGCTCCTGAGGGACAAAGGCCAAGACTGTTTTGTTTCTAAAACTCAAGCCTTTCGTGTCCTCTGCAATACCCAGCAACATAGCCAGCACTTCTGTAAGAAATGTATGTATTGAAAAGCAGGCTGTGGGAATGGATTTATTTTAGTGTGTTTTATGCATTATGGGTTTGCTTTATAATTATAACTAATATCAAGTATATAAACATAGTCACACAACAATAGTAACTATTCAAGCAGAAATTATCATCAGAATTTGGTATCTGAGAAAGAACGTGATGTGTAATTACAAAGTTCCCCCCTGTATGTTTGAAATGATCACCGCTCACTCTCTGTCCACTGCAGGTACATACACTGTGAAGTCAAGCAGCAAGTATCAGCGGATCTTGAGTAATGGCCCTTCTTCTAAGAAGGAGCCGTACCTACCTCCAGTCACTACATTACTGCTTTTCCCACACCTGGCTGTTTGAGTGTGTCATCTGCAAACCTGTCCATCTTGCAGGATGTGGGGTAACCAAATAGCAGGAAGGTGGAGTCTGTTTACTTTGCTTCCAGGAAAATGAAGTCCAAGGCCTATGGAGAGATGTTGATTATCCTCAATTTCCATACCCAAGAAGACACACAGATCTGTGGATCTTCCAAAACAAGTCCTCTGTGATTTGAACATCCTGGTGAGAAAGATAAGTATTTGAGGGTGACTGGCAAGTCTGAACCTAAACACATTTTGCATGATCATACCTGAACTACAAGGTGCAGTCAAACATAAGAATGTCTTTTACATGTTGGAAAACAAAAGCATGATGAATATGTTTTATATATATATATATATATATATATATATATATATATATATATATATATACAAGTATATCTTCCTTTCTTAAATCATCAGCCAAACTCAAGATGCAGCTAAGGCTTCCAGCAGAGGGAGACACCACCGCCCTACCCATTCCTTGATGCTGCTTCATGGGGAAGGCATGTGATCTGATGACAGTGCCAAATTGCCACCATCCGCTGAAAGTGCCCCAACCCAGGAGCCCAAATGAGAAATGACACATCTTTGCGAGTGATTGTCTGTTCAGAGTACTCAGTTACAAGACCTGGGAAATGGACTTACTGATCTCAATTTCTCCTCCTCCTCCTCCTCCTCCTCTTCCTCTTTCTCCTCCTCCTCCTTGTCTTCCTCCTCTTATTCTTCCTCTGTCTTCTCATCCATTGCTGGATGTGTCACCACAGTATCCAAGTCTTCTCCTGGATAGTGTCAGTGAGCATGTCCTGGAGCACTGAGATTTGCCCATCCTGGGGAGAAGGAATAGTCCCATTGTCTGGAGTCCACTGAACAGAACTGAAATAATATCCAGGTAGTCGTGGGAGATGGTCAGCCCACTTAAGGAAAGCCGTCCGAGACCAGACAGCAGACACACATTACACATTCCTGTCATCCCCAACTCACTCATGTGCTTTCCTCCTTCTTTCCATTTTCTCCTCTTGAGACCATTGCAGATTTAAACGACTTGAAACAAATCCCCCTGTACCACGTACCCACTTTGTCCCTGGTAACATCTTGCAAGACGATGGCACAATATCCCAGTCAGGATACTGAGAATGAGGAAACCCGTATCACGTGCTGTGCTTCTAGTCATCAGCTTCACCCTTCCAAAGAGCAGCAGCTCTATCAGCAAGGCTCAGGCTGCACAGTCCTGGGGTGATACTGTGTGTATCCATGGACCAGATGCTGGGTTGGCTGAGTGTAGAATAGCAGTGGTCATTGACAAGTCACTGAATCATGAGTTCTTCGAATGATGCAGGTTCCCACTCACTGACAGCCCTTACAGAGGCCAAGGAGCAATGCTTTTGCATTTTGTTTCAGTTTAGGATTAACAAAAATTAAAATAATAGAGTGTATGGAGGGGTATACGACAGCTACCAGCATACAGAGAAGAAAGGAGAGGCTTCCGATCTGGTATTTTTGAGTACAGAAAGAAATAGCCACCATGTAGTGGGAGAAGTGGAGGACGAGGAAGGACAAGATGGACAGCACCGCGCTCCTGTGCGCGCTCTGGCCAGGGCTGCCCGCTCCTGCCATCATCCTCATCCGCAGGCTGTGTTTCACCAGGAAGAAAATCAAGAGCACAACAGCAGTAAGGAAGATGAGAAATGGCAATGTCAGACTGGCGATAAAGAAAATTGGCATAACATATGTTTCTTTTTCGTTGATTTGTGTTGCATTTTTTAATAAAAAATTGAACAAAATTCCTCTGGAAATAGCCCACGCATATTGACTGTAGATGGCAGAAGTGATAGCTGAATGAAAGAGAGACCCCACAATCAACCATGGCACCAGCCTCGATATCCTCATCTTTAGCCACAAGAAGAGCCAGTGTGGGATGCTTGCAATCTTTGTGCAGTAGAAAACACTGAGCCATGTGGCAAACCAAAGCCCCAATTCATTTGTAAATAAAATAATTACAATGGTCGCTGGAATGATGAATTCCTTCCCGGAGAAAATGATCATAAGGAAGAAGACGATGTACAACTGCAGAAAAATCCTAGAAATTGCCAGGCAAGAAAGAAGCAAATCCAGGGTGGCTATTTTTCTCCACTTGATCAGGCCAATGGCGTTCACCGTCACGATGAGGCTATTTGCACTGACTCCTGTAAGAACTTGCGCCGCTGTCAGAAGAAGAGTCAGAGTGCGGTCTGCTCCTATCATTTTAAGAAGAGAAAAGCCGCTTTTCCCAGTAGGAACTACAGAGGCATTTTTGGAGACTATTTCAGTCATTCATGCTTTCTGCTTTTCTTCAGTCTGATCAGGAGTCTTCACAAAACACTATTTCAGCAAAGAAGCTTTGCGTGTATTTGCTTATATCCCTGCTTTCTCAGTTTAGCTCTGAGACAGTCAAATAAGAAAGAGATAGTCTAGCAGCAATTTGCTTCCTAGTGACAGCATTTGCATTTTCCAGATTTACTTAGCTTGTGAGGGCATCACAAGCAAATAGTGAAATCAAACACCTCTATAAGAGGGGTCAAAGAGCTCCTACACCGGAGCTCAGCCATGAAAGCCACTCCATCCTTCATCTCTATCATGAGTAAGTTTTACCTATACATGTGATAATGTTATTAACATTTATTGCAGCATTCTGCTAAAATGTCTTTCAAAATTTTCACCTCCATTACAATGGGGTTGGACCACCATCAGCGCAACTCCCCGGCCGGCAAAGGCTGAGTGATTCAGCACCACATAAAACATAATGTTTATACATAATAAAATATAGATGATCAAACACAAAATGTCACAGAACGTAAGGGCAGAGTAATAAGGCTGATGTGTGTGTGTAGCCTCTGGGTCAGAAGTCTCCAGGCAGCCATGTGTGGCCGGGGGAAGCATGGAACGTCTCCTGCACCCTGCCTCACCTGCACATAACTCAGGGGTTGAGGCTTTTTCCTGTTATTTTTTTCCACAAACAATGAGAAGCTTATGACCTGAGCTGGTAGTTCTAAGGGAAACTGGTAGTTCCAAGGGAAACGTAGAACACAAACAGTCCATGAGTCAATGTGTTGTTATAACTGTTTAACGCAATTCACGGGAAAATTAAAGGAACACTTAATGTATAGAAAATGGGTCACATGTTACTCTCAACAAGGTTTTTTATTCACTCTCAAGTCACATTTTGAGCTGAGGAATTCTTGGTGGGGGGAGGGGTGCTGTCCTTTGCATGTCTGTCTTACCACGGTGCCGTCTCTGTTCGAGAAGCCACTGCCAGTGTCACCACCCAAGCCACCTCTACATTTGGACATTGCTACATGGCTTTGGTGCCACGCTCAGCCCTGTCCTGACACAGTGCGTAGAATGCAGTCACGCAATGCCACGGCTGAAGTGTGGCATCAACCAGGCCAGTGACTCAGAAGTGTGCCAGGTGCGAACAATTTATCAACACTGGAGGAATTGAAAACTTACTTCCAACTTAGCACTTAACCTAAATATACCCACAGACCCAAAATGAGGCGTTTGAGCTTACAGACAAATTTCCTAGTTCCATTTTCACATAAATACATTGAGTATGATGACTCCTTCATTCACCATTGCTTTTCTCAGTTCGCAGTGCTCCCTCCCTATAGCCCCCAAGTCCTCTAGACATGTTTCAGCTTCCTAATATTCGATTGTTACGCTACCTGTTAATTGTTCAAAGGGGTTATACCATGCCCTGTCACTCCCCTGTGTCCTATCCTTAGCCAGTTTGATTGTATTTATATACATGAGGCCCTGTATGCGCTTACATATATGTTTATATTTTAGTCTATCATCCACGTTTAAGAGAAAACATGAACCCTCTGCGATAGACACAAAAATAAAGAATTGTCTCAGCAAGGCAGAGTTTACTTCTGGAGAAGGGCGTGCTATTCACCATAAATTTGGCAAAGACACACACAGAGCAGGTGGGCTGGCCCCTACTTATCCCTAATGTAGCAGGCCCCGCCCCTCTGCTCAGATTGGTTGAGTTCAGGATCACAATCTGCTCAGGAATGGTTAGGCTGGCTAAGGTAAGATGTGTTTACATACGGTGAACATGAAAAGACTTTGAAATAAGATTAACAGTACACAAGTAATCTCAAAACACGCCCCTGCTGTCTGCTCTTTCTTGAAAAATCTGAGGCGTGTCTCATTTCCATCTTGGAAAAACCAGCTTGAGACAAATCCTTACATTTCAAAGATCCTTCCCTTATCCCAAAGCTGCTCCTCTCTTCCTTACTAGAGCCAAGCCTCCAAGGCCAACAAAGAACTGTTAAACAACATACTTTGAGAGAAAAGACCGTTTTTCTCACATCTTTGCTCTCAGTGCCTGGCTGGCTTACTTCATTCAATATGATTTTTTTTTTTTTTGGTGGTGCAGGAATGGATCCCAGAGCTTTGCAAGTGCTGGTCAGTGCTTCATCCCCGAGCTACACCCTGAGCCCGGCACTCCTTACACTGACAACGGATGGTGCAAAAGAGGCAGGGAAAAGTGTGTGTGTGGGGGGGGGGGGGGCGTCTGGTAGAAGGGGACAACTCTTGTGGGATTGCTAGAGAATGCTTTCCTTCACCCCATGAAGCTCTCTTTCAGGGCTGGAGACATCCTCTAAGGGTTGATTCTGGAGCTCTTTCTCTGGCCTGACCCATTCCCCAGCCTTCCCTCTCGGGAGACTTCCAGATCCACCACCACATCAGCTACGGACATCGGCCACATGCTTGGACTCAGTAAGCGTGAGCTTAATGTTTTAGTGATCAAGCAAGTAAATCAAGCAAAGAAAAAAATGATCATAAGGAGGGAGCCCTTTGGGCTGTCTGAGGCAGTCTGTTTTAGTGAATAGCACACATCAGAGAATTTCTGGCTCGGAGACGAAAACCACCCACGTCTGGCTTCACCTGTCAGCCAGCGGCTCAGAACACTGACAGTTTTACATGGACAAATGGCTTGGAACAGATGGAACAAGACCCGACGTGGAGAAATTCACATGATTATTACCCCGTATTACCCTGATTAATTCTGTTCACTCGCACTCATACGTAATGAGCACTCATTAAAGGAGACAGCACTAAATATCCTGGAGGTAACTGACAGGTGGAAAGAGTTGCTTATTTATATTCAAATCATTTAACGTCTCAAAAGCAAGTCCGATCTTTTTCCCATGCAGTTACATGGACACTGCTGTGCCTTCAGCAGGTAGAGAGCTGTAATGATCGTCTTTCTGCTTTCCAGATGCACATGGATGGACTTTTACTTTGATATTACAGCCACCAGGAAGGTGAGTAGTAGATGTTTGTTCGTTTATGGTTGCTTGTTTGTACTGGTACTGGGGTTTGAATTCTGGGCCTGGGCACTGTCCCTGGACTTTTAGTTCATGGCTAGAATTCCACCACTTGAGCCATAGCTCCACTTTTGGCTTTTTGGTGGTTAACTGGGGACAACAAGCCTCATAGACTTACTTGTTCTGGGCTGATTTTGAACTATAATCTTCAGATCTTAGCCTCTTTTATAGATTAATGAATTAATTTTTGTTTCCACCAGCTCTGGAGTTTGAACTCCGGGCCCCTGTCCCTGAGCTTTTTCACACAAGGCTAGTGCGCCACCACTTGAGCTACAGTTCCACTTTCGGCTTCATTGGAGATGAGAGTCGCACAGGCTTTCCTGCTCTGGGCTGACTTTGCACCATGATCCTCACATCTCGGTCTGTTAAGTAGCTGGGGTTATAGAGGTGAGCTCCTGGTGCACAGCTGTGAGCAACCGTTTTAATGCCCAACTGGGACTTCCCACTTCATTACCAGAGGAACACTTCCTGCTCAGAAAAAGTGCACTTGTGTTAATATTTTCATAAATTTAATAAGATCCTGCAAAGAAGAAAGACTTCCATCCTTAACAAACGAGTACACACATTTTGCCTGAATCTTCCCTGGACCAGCATTCAGCCCTGGATAAAGGATAGAAGTTAAAAGCACCAGGTTCTTCCAGACTAATCATTCTTTCTATCCATTCAGTTTCATCTCTCTCTCTTGGACTAAAATTTTGCCTTTAATATTCAGGTCACTTCTGTATACTTGTCCCTTCTTTTCTATTTATTCTAGTAATATATTTCTGTGCTTTTCCTTACTTCATTCAATATTCTGAAATTTATTTGCACTGCAGCAAATAGAATAATAGAGTGATTGCAAGCCATTGAATTTAGGTCTTCTACACACAAAAAAACTCAAAGTGCTTCACAAACAGAAATCCCTTGTTAGCTACAATGAGGAAACAGAGCTAGTAATGCTGATCCTGATACAGGGTAACGGTCATGGTCCTCCAGGTATGCTCAGCTCTAGACAGAGCAACCCTGTGGGATTTGTTGCTTCTTCCTTCTTCCTATCTTCTCCTTCTCTAGCTTTCATGCTTCTCTTCTTCCCTTTTTCTTTTCCTCCTTCTTCTTTCCTTCCCTTCTACTCCCCTCTTTCCATCTCATGTTTCCATGCATGCTTCTGTGTCCTCTGGGAACAAGCACTGTCCAAACCATAGATTATATAGTAAAGAATTAGAGCAAGAGTCTGCCATTATGGAAATTACATCACAGTGGGCGGAGGAAGATGAGAAATGAACAGATGAAGAAGTGAACAAGTCCAGGTCAGGAAGAAAGAGACACTAGTTTGTAGAGTATAGTCAGAGAGGATTGATTTCTTCAGGGAGGTGATAGACAATTGGATGGCCAATCTGGAGATGATCATTCCAGGCAGAGAGCAGCAGATAGGATCTGTCCCCATCAAAAGAGAGCTTGGAACTTTCCAAAAAAAATCAAAGTCCAATCCTCCACATTTCCTGAAACAGCATGAATAAGAGAAAGCCCCTAAGGGTAGACACAGAGTGATCACCCAGGGCTTGGGTCATAAAAATGACTGGGCTTTATCTTTTGTATGGCAGAAGTCTCGTGCAAATCTGAGGTGAGGCGAACTTTCGTATTATCAGATCTATGTTCTGAAATATTTGCTATGATTGCTCTCTAGAAAGAAATGCATTTGTTCTGGAGAAAATGCTTGGAGCTCAGGAGAGGAAAAACATGAAGGAGGAAGACCAGTCTGAACAGCTTTACTGTAGACCAGGCAAGAGATGCTGTTGGCTTCAATCAGATTGTGACTTGTGAAAAAGAAGAGGTTGGATTGGGAATATATTTCTAAGATATGACCAATAGAATTTGGTTGGCTTTGATAAGGGGAAATGAAGATACAAGAGAAATCAAGAATATTTCTTGGCCCAAATGTTGGTGCTATTTAGAAAG